CTGATGATGTTGACGACGGCTGTGGGCTAGGGTTTGAAAACCCTAGCTGAAACCCCAAATCAATTCAGGGTTTCCATTTGGGTTTGGGATTTGATAACCGGGCCTCCAGATTTGTAAAACGGGGCTCCGGGTCCTTTGGGCTTGTAATATATATATATATATATATATATATATATAATAATAATATTTAGTAATAATAAATTTAATAATAATAATAAAATTTAAATGAAAAAAATGATGTCTACAGCTACCAAACTTGAAAACCATTTTAATACTTTCAACAATCTCCCACTTGAAGACTGATTTTAATCTGTCTTCATACCTCGATCAATGCAACAGCTTTTCTAGTCTTGTTACTCTAGCATGCCAACTGAAGTTGAACACAACTTCAATTTGTCTGTAGTCACCGTCTTTGTCAACATATCTGCCGGATTTTGAGCTCCATTGATCTTTTCAAGTTTCAAAATCTCATCTTCCAGAAGAGACCGGATAAAATGATATCGCAATTGTATGTGCTTTGTCCTGGAATGAAAAGATGGATTCTTTGCTAGATGTATAGCACTTTGACTGTCGCAATACAAGACATTGTTTTCTTGTTTCTTGCCTAACTGTTCCAAGAAACTTTGGAGCCAAACCATCTCCTTGCTAGCTTCCGTAACAGAGACATATTCTGCTTCAGTTGTGGAGAGAGCAACTATCTTCTGTAGTTGAGAAACCCAACTCACTGCGGTTCCTCCTAGAGTATAGACATACCCTGTAGTGCTCCTTCTGATGTCAACATTTCCGGCTAAGTCAGCATCTACATAGCCTGTCAGTATCGTATCTCCACCTTTGAAACAAAGTGCTTTGTTTGTGGTACCCCGCAGATATCTGAGGATCCATTTGACTGCTTCCCAGTGTACCTTGCCCGGATTATTCATGTACCTGATAACAGCTCCCACTGCTTGAGCAATATCTGGTCTGGTAAAAACCATGGCATACATCAGACTTCCAATCGCTGAGGTGTACGACACCTTCACCATGTGTGCACGTTCTTCCTCCGTCTTTGGTGACTGTTCTTTGGAGAGTCTGAAATGAACACCTAAAGGTGTACTTACTGGTTTAGCATCTTGCATGTTGAACCTGGAGAGTACTTTGTTGATGTACTCAGCCTATGATAATATCAAAGTCCCTGACTTTGTGTCTCTCTTGATCCTCATCCCAAGAATCTGCTTTGCAGCGCCCAGATCCTTCATAGCAAACTGCTTTGACAATTTTTGCTTCAAGTTTATAATCTCTTGCATGTCTGAGCCTGCAACGAGCATGTTATCAACGTACAACAATAAAATAATGAAGCTATTGTCGAACCTCTTGATGTAACAACAATGATATGCTTGGCATCTGGTAAAACCACTGCTACTCATGAAACTATCGAACTTCTTGTACCACTGTCTAGGAGCTTGTTTTAAACCATACAAGCTCTTCTTCAACCTGCATACCAGGTTTTTCTTGTCTGCCTCTATGAAGCCTTCTGGCTGCCTCATATAGATTTCTTCCTCCAAATCACCATGAAGGAAAACTGTCTTTACATCTAACTGCTCAAGATGTAAATTCTCTGCAACTACAATTTTCAACACCAGTCTGATTGTATACAGTTTCACGACTTGAGAGAAAATTTCATTGTAGTCAGTACCTTCTTTTTGTTGAAAACCTTTGACAACCAATCTCGCTTTGTAGCGTTTGCTCCCATCGTGCTCTTCTTTGATCCTATAAATCCACTTGTTGTGAAGCGCTTTCTTGCCTGGTGGTAATTCAACTAATTCCCACGTCTGATTTGACAAAAGCGAGTCCATCTCATCTTTCATGGAAGACTCCCACTTGACTGAATCCTCCACTTTCATTGCTTCATCATAGCACTCTGGTTCACCATTGTCAGTCAGCAACAAGTAGTGCAAAGAAGGAGAATACCGTTGGGTTGGTTTAGGAATTCTGGAGGAGCGTCTTAGTTCCGATGTGCCTGGTTCTTCTTGAACTGCTTCAGGACTGATCTGAACATCATTTCCAGAAATCTCGTCAAACTCAACAAATTCCTTTGTTTCAGCTTTGGTATGGAGCTGCTTGATTCTACAGTTGACCTGTCTTTGTACATCACATTCTCATTGAAAATGACATCTCTACTTCTAATGATCTTCCGATTTTCATAGTCCCAAAACCGGTAACCGAACTCATCACCGCCGTAACCAACAAAGGCACATTTGTTGGACTTAGCATCAAGTTTACTTCTTTCAGCAGAGTCTATGTGTACATAAGAAATACAACTAAACACTCTTAAGTGTGAAAGGTTTATTTCTTTCTTGCTCCAAACTTCCTCTGGTATTCTGCCATCCAAAGGAACTGAGGGCCCACGGTTGATCAGGTAAGCTGCAGTGTTAATAGCTTCAGCCCATAGAAATTTGGGCAATCCGGCATGTATCCTCATGCTTCTGGCACGTTCATTCAGAGTTTTGTTCATGCGCTCTGCTACGCCATTCTGCTGCGGTGTCATGGGAACTGTTGTCTCCATCTTGATCCCATTGTTTGCGCAAAAATCTCTGAATCTCCTATTTCTGTACTCTCCTCCATTGTCAGACCTCAACCGCTTGACTTTCATACCATTCTCATTTTCCACCATGGCCTTCCATTTTCTGAAGGTATCAAAGACTTCTGATTTTTTCTTCAGAAAATAAACCCACACCTTCCTTGTAGAATCATCGATGAAGGTGACATAATATAATGAGCCTGCAAGAGATAGAACTGGAGATGGTCCTCATACATCAGTATGAACTAACTCTAACTTTTCAGCCTTGGGTGTCTTACCAATCTTTGCAAAGCTGACTTTCTTTTGTTTGCCAAAGATGCAATCCTCGCATAGTCCGACATCTACATTCTTTAGATCCGGTAGCTTCCCCTTTGACAAAAGTGTCTTCATCCCTTTCTCGCTCATATGGCCAAGCCTTTGGTGTCATAGGTTTGATTTTCCATCAGCATCTGCTACTGCAATGATATTCTCTAAATTTGAGGTTACATAGAGAGTACCAGTCTTCTTACCACGAGCAATGACGAGTTCTCCTTTGGTAATCTTCCATTCACAACCTGAAAAGGTTGTACTGTATCCTTCTCCATCAAGCTGTCCTACAGAAATCAAATTTCTTTTGAGATCAGGAATATGTCTCACTCTTGTCAGCTTCCAGGTGGTCTGGTTTGGCAGCTTTAGTCAGATGTCTCCTTTTCCGACGATCTTCAAGGTTTCATCATCAGCAAGATGAACCTTCCCAAAATCACCACTGACATAGTTCTCCATGATTTCTTGGCATGGCGTGGAGTGGAAAGATGCCCCTGAATCCAAAATCCATGATTCAATCGGACTGCTGACGCTTAAAATCATGGCATCACCTGTCTCCTCCGTCATGTTGGCAGATTCATGTGCGCCGGTATTTTTCTTCGGTTCTCGGCAATCTCTTTTGAAGTGGCCCTTCTTGCCGCAATTATAACAGGTAAAATCTTTATTTCCTGTTCTTGATTTTCCCCTTCTGGATTTCGATCTGCCACGATTTGAATTTCTTTCTGAAGTTCTCCCTCTGGACTCCGTGTGCAAGGCTGAGGAGGTTGATGTTTCACCCGATTCTCTCCGTCGAATTTCTTCGCTCAGTACCAGATCCCGAACATCGTCGAATTTTAATTTGCTGTTTCCTGACGAACTGCTGACTGTTGTAACAGTAGCATTCCAACTGTCTAGTAAAGATGATAAGAGAATTAAAGCTCGAACTTCATCATCAAATTCAATTTCCACTGAACTCAACTGGATTGTGATTGTATTGAGTTCATTTATGTGTTGTGCCACCGATGCCCCTTCCGTCATCCGCAAATTGAATAATCGCATCATCAAATGAACTTTGTTTGAGGTCGATGGCTTCTCATACATACTGGAGAGAGCCGTCATAAGACCTGCCGTGGTCTTTTCCTTTGCTATGTTGAAAGCAACATTGCGGGATAACGTCAGTCGGATAACTCCGAGGGCTTGTCTGTCGAGAAGAGCTCAGTCTTCATTCTTCATGCCATTTGGTTGTTTTCCTGAGAGGGGTTGATATAGATTTTTCTGGTATAGAAAATCTTCAATTTGCATCTTCCAAAATCCAAAGTCCGCACCATCGAACTTTTCAATTTTCACATTCCCTTCGTCTGCAGCCACCGCTCCCACTCGAATCTGGCTTCGTTTGGATCGTTCCTGACAATTTTTGCGAACCGTCGTGTATTAGAACACCTCCGTCGACAAACTCGTATCGCCGACCGAATTTTACTATTCACAAAATTTACTATTCATGTAAATAGTAACCCGAATAGTAATCTCGCAAAAAATTGACAAAATTCACTACCCAAAAGCTCTGATACCAGTTGTTGGGAAATAAACCAAGTACAAGTAATTTTCCTATAACCAGATTAGTGAGAATGCAAAATAAAAGCGAAAAAATAATATCCGAAATTGATAACGAAGTTCAGTCAATTGTGCTTACATCTCCGGACTGCTGCATATCTTTTACTAAGAGAGAAAATTTACAGGTGTTTACAAAACACTCACTACTCACAAGAAAACTCTTTAGTATTGAGAGAAAGAAATGATTTTTGGGATGATTTTGAAGCTAAATGAGTTAGGGTATTTATAGTTGAAACTTAAGAACTTAATCTTGTAAATACTCTAAAACCTAGGGATTAATTGTGATTATCCCATTGTCATTTTTCAACAAACATCTATAAAACTTTGAAAAATTATTTTTCAAAGAAACATTTACCTCACTTTAAAAATAATTTTCAAAGAAATATTTATTAAATTTTAAAAATCATTTTTTTAAAATTGATTATTAAACTTGAAAATCATTTTAATACTTTCATCCACCCACAGGAAATATTCATTTAAAGATGAAAGAAAATGACGATAGCAACTTTGGTTTTCTCTGATGCTGCTATTATAACTAAATAACCCAGAGGAAAACATTGTTGGTGGTTTGGTCTCATGGAGAACTCGAGTGGGACGAAGGGCGATCAGGCTCCGATGCTTTCAGCCTCGGTCCCTTCCAGCTTGGTTCCCATTGTCCCTATTCTCCGTGTTGCGGAAGAAATCGAAAAGGATAACCCAAGAGTTGCTTATCTCTGTAATTCATCCCCTTTCCCTCTTTTCTTCTTTTTCATTTACATTTTGGGTTTATCATTGATACACTGACAGTCACTCACTCAGAACTGCAACTTGTTATATGTAATCACCATTAATTAGTGACCCTTGTACATGTGTTTTTTCGTTCAATTAGGCCGTTTCTATGCATACCAGACGGCTCGCAAAATTGATCCAACATACAGTGGTCGTGGTGTTGGCCAATTTATGACTCATATGGTGGATAGACTTGAAAAGGTACACTTTAAAACCTATTTGTTTCTTTGATAATTTAAAGCATTTTCTTCCATACCTGTTAATACTTCTTTTTCTACAGCAGGTTTAACTTTGTCAAAGTAATAAGACTTACATATCTTTTCTCTAAAATGCTTTAGCAACTGAGGAGCAAGTTGAGGAGAATGTCTCCCTGATAATTAAAAGCATGATATGTTTGATATTGAATAAAGAGAATGATATGAGTAGTCCCCATGCATTCTATAATCCCAAGATTTCCAAGATGTAGTGTTTTACTATGATTATTGAGGTTCCCCTTCGGGATATATTCTTTAAAAAATTTAGAGTTCATTATATAGACTAATATGTTATTCTATTTCGGAGTTTCGATCCTAAGGGATTTTTTTCCCAGGAGGAAGTAGAGACAGAACATATACTTTCCGGATCCGGAACCGATCCAAGAGAAATTCAGATGTATTTTCATCGGTTTTATCTGGAAAACATTGCAGAGGACCAAAACAAAAAGAAACCGTGAGATGTTTATTTTCACTTGGAAATACCATTTGAGCTAGGCATGTGTCTTATTCTTTTGGTTGTTGGTTGCTCTTGAAGGGAGGAGATGGCTAAAATATATCAAATTGTTTCAACGTTGTCTGATGCGATGAAGATGATAATTCATCCTTCAAGAGTTGACGAAAAGGTTTGATTTGTAAATTATGAGTGCAAATTTTTCAAGGACTAATTATATTCTGGAGGGGTTTTCTTATCAAGTTCTATTCTGTTATTCCAGACTCTGATTTATGCTAAAGAAGTTGATAAGAAAAGGGAGCAATTTGAGTACTATAACTGTCTTCCACGGGAACCTCCTAAGGTGCATTATATATTCTTGTTTATTCTGATAGCCTTTTTGTAGTTTGATTTCCCCATGTCAATGCTCTTCATAAACACTGCAGACTAAAACCAACAGTTACTGCTATACCAAATATGATATATATTATATATTTTATTGGCTTTGTCTCCTCGTTGGATTTCAGGTTGTTAATCGAAAGATATTCAAGTTTAAAATAAAGAAATTAAGATGAATAGCAGTAAATAAGAGAAGCTGCTGTCAAGGAAGAGAAGAAGAGAAAGAAGAAATAGATGTAGGGTTCTGAAATTCAGCTTCATTAACTCTCTACCCTAACTATGCTTTTGTACTAATAATTCTATATACATATAAGGAAAGTAAAATGTTACAATCAAGACAATCCCTAATTTCTAATGTTTTGTATATGAAACTGTATTATTGTATAATAGCCGTAATTATTGTCATTGAATAAGCTAGAATAAGTAGACAATGACTATTTATGTATATGGTAAGCATAAGTATATGCATGACTCTTAGTCCTTTGTATCTGTTGTGAATATACACATATATGTGATTTGTTATCAGTTCTGTTTGTTGTCAATATACACATATACAATCATTTGTCGTTCTCCCTGTCGTGAACATACGCATATATGCAAACTTTTTCTCGAGTAATGATGTACATGTGTCAGTGTTTAGTAATCGACTTTAGTATCATATCCACTCTCGATCCATAACACGCATATGCCAATGTTTAGAAATTGAGTTTACTATTGTATTCACTACCAAACGATGATGTACGCTTTAGTGTTTAGTAATTGAGTTTAATATCGTATCTGCTCTCAAGCGATGTATATATGTATCTATATATATAAGCATGAGCCTAGATGTTTGCCTTGGCTGGCAATAATATGTCTACTTTCACATTACGTTAATGCCTTAAATATTTATGTCATATTTATGTTCAACCTACATGTATCACCTACCTCATGATGCTTCAATAGAGTTGTTGTACATTATTGAGCATGCAAAGCTAAGCTCAGTGGTCAAAATTTCTTCTCCTTCCAGGTAATTAGATTTTTTGTTTCGTTCGAGTCAGGGCATTGACACTATTTTCAGAGTTCTAACAGATGATTTTTCAGAGTATAGTACTTATTCACTTTTAGAGGGCATGTATAACCTAGAGCCCTTGCTTTATGTTTTCAATTTGTAACAATGAATTTATACTTTTGGCTTTTGATATTATCTTTGTTTTGAAGCTCCGAATTTTGTATAATTATTTTTTCAAAAGCTTCTTATATCAATTTTTTTTCATGACTTATTCGGTTCTAAAACTATTTTATTTGAAATATTAAGTCAATGTTCATTTTGGATCTGAACGTAGCTCCCCTAGATTAGTAGGGCTTCATGGGTTGGTTTAGGATGTTATACTAACTTTTATTTGTTACTTTAAGAATTGGTTTTATTGCAAATCAAGTACTCAAACTATACTTCTTTTTATTTTAGGTGTTTAAGTTTTTTCAAGGTAGATACTTGACGTTTAATTTCATTCTGTAAACATTTTAAAGTTAGGGGCCTTTTTGCCCTAAACTGAAAATCTGAAGGTCAAAATGCTCTAAAAGATAGAATATGAGGCAAAATGACAAATTTGGTAAACATTGGGGTCTAATTTTAGTATTATGCCTTTATTTTACAATTAAGCCTTAACAATTTAAAGCATTTCTTCCATATCTGTTAGTACTGCTTTTTTTTCCTATAGCATGGCTAGTGGTTTAACTATGTGAAAGAAAGTAAGAATAATAATATATCTTTTATCTAAAGCAACAGTATAGATTATATACAACAGTATGCAATGCTTTTTCTAAAGCAATAGAATATACATTTCAAAAATAATTAAATAAAGAGATACAATATAAGAATATGCATTCACATAATCATAGGTGATTACAAAAAAGAAAAGAAAAGATGATATGTTCTCTTGCAAACAAGGTTGGACAAAGAAAAAGATAAGAAAATTGAAAAATAGTGAATGTTGTAATATCGTTTGTTGGAAAATTAATTTATATTTAATTCTTGTTCGAATAAAAAAGTAAAAGAAAAATAGAAAAGATGAAGGTAAGAGCAGGACTGGATCTCCCTTTCTTCAAAAGAAGACTGAAATAGAAGAAACAAACTATGGTGTATGAAAATGGAACAAATGAATGAAGCTAAAGAACAATTTGGTAAGTAGACATCAATGCAAGCTTAGATTTCAGGACTGTTTCACTTTCAGTCCAGTTGGATTTGGGTTGACTCCTTTCTCTTTTTGTTTCTTTATATGTTTTCAATTTTTATTTTTTTTAATTCAGCTATAAATAGGAACCACAGTGGCCGTCCTTGCTATCCTGCTTTTTCTTTAGTATCGTCTTTCTCTCTGGTTTCCTCCATTGGAAACTAAACTAAGCTTCCTTTTTCCAGCTTTGTTTTGAGGTCCCTCGCATCTCTTCCAATACCCACCAACCATTTTTCTAACATTTTCCCCTTTTCCTCTCTCTCTCTCTACATTTTTGCTTGAAAGATTGGATTTTTGTCTGGCTTTTTCTTGCCCATTTCCTTTTATCATTTGTTGAATTCTTTCCATTTGTTTTGGACCACTTGGAATGACCACAACATGAACAAAACAAAATTGGGTTTCTTCTCTTAAACCACTATCCCCTTTGCAAATGCAGCTTTAGCTGCTCCCCCCCCCCTTTTTAGGCTTTTGGTTTTTTTTTGGGTTCTTCATTGGTTTGTTATCTTTTTGCTCATTGAAAGATTCCCTCTTGGATGCTAAAATGTAAGGTTTTTGTTTTTCTTTTCCTTTTGCTTATGTGAACGTTTAAGAAAGAAGACCAAGGTAAATGCTTTCCTGTTTTTGAATTAATTTTGCTGTATCTTACTTGGACTATAAGTGATTTTTTTATTTATTTAAAACCATGGAATACAGAGTTTGTTGTGGAATTTTTAGTGGTCTGATTTGTTTATTGGATGGTTCTTCTTGATTCATTGAATGTATATGTACTTCATTAAATGTGGTATCAGATTCTCCTCCTATATCCCCCCTTTTTTCATCTTTTTTTATTAGTGGGTGGAGAGTATGCAAGAATCTTATGGATTTATTATCATTTTTGGGTTTTCTGATTTGAGTGAGGATGGTTTTGATGACAATAACTTGTTATGCAGAAAATTTAACTTAAAACTCATTTATGGACTTTGAAAAATTATTAATAGTTTCGATATTTTTGGTGTTAGATGACATGTTTCTGTTACGCAGGTAGGAATGTGTTGAAATTTTGATCATGCATACAAGAGATTGAATATAATTTTGTGTGTTAAAAGTCCTGGAAGATCAGCGATGTCGTCTCGGGATGCCTTAAATGCTGAGTTATCAGAGAAGACACCATTTTTGGGTCTAAAACTTTGGGTATTGATTGGTTTATCTGTTGGGGCATTTATCTTGTTGATTCTTGGCATCTTATCTGTATGGGTTACATTTCGGAGGAGTAGACGACCCCTAGACAAGTTCTTGCTCTCTCAAATACCGAATGACTCAAAGGACATCAAGGTTGACAAGGTTGGAGTTGAGGGCTTCAGTGATCATCCGGAAAATCAAGTCATTTCTGTTCATGATAAAACCAGCGATAAGAAATCGGAGAAAATGTTAGCTCTTCTGGGGACGAGCAAATCGAGTGATCCTGATAATATCAGTCAATGCAGCTCGATTTATCATCATGAAAGAGGTTTTAGTTTGCATTCAGGAGAAGAAGGCAGCTCTGGAACAGTCCGAGATCAGTCTGCATTGCTGTATGGAGGACTAGTGACTGCCTCTCCCTTAGTTGCCTTGCCAGAGATTTCACATCTCGGGTGGGGTCACTGGTTTACTCTTAGGGATCTTGATCGTGCAACAAATCATTTTTCAGGGGAGAATGTTATTGGAGAGGGCGGATATGGGATGGTTTACAAGGGTATACTGATCAATGGAACTGAAGTAGCAGTTAAAAAGCTTCTTAATAATCTGTAAGGATATCTTTTCGGACACTATCTTGTTTATTTTAATGCTTTTGTATTTGCTTTTCTCAACAAAAAAAAAATTAAAAATATTGCTCGATGGTATGTCTAGGGGACAGGCAGAGAAAGAATTTAGGGTTGAAGTGGAGGCTATTGGTCATGTTCGACATAAGAATCTTGTGCGGCTTTTGGGCTATTGCATAGAAGGAGTTCACAGGTGAAGTTCAAATATGTTTGATTGGTTTATTTGTTGATTTCATTGAAGGTTCACTTTTAGCTATAATTATGTACTAATGTGTTAATGTGTGCTAGGCTTTCCTTATCTAACCTGTCTTTATAGTTGCTTGAATTTGATTCGACTGCAAATCTGATTATAACTGTAATTTCTGGTTGATTACATAGGATGTTGGTATATGAATATGTGAATAATGGTAACTTGGAACAATGGCTGCATGGGGAAATTTGGCAGCATGGTACACTTACTTGGGAAGCTCGGATGAAGGTTATTCTTGGTACTGCCAAGGCGTAAGTTCATCATTCGATCTTGAAATATCTATTTTCATTGGATTAAAATATAGATTTTATACTATCCTCTAACCATTTAACTCTGCCCCTTTGTATCATGTATTTTGTTACTGCAAGAACAATGCTCCGTCATTGATGCTAGAAATAATTGAAAAAAAAATATCATTTACTTTAAAAAAACTGAGTGGGAGTACTTTTGGTAATTGCTTTGCAGGCTTGCTTATTTGCATGAAGCAGTAGAACCGAAAGTTGTTCACCGGGACATAAAATCAAGTAACATCTTGATCGATGATGAATTTAATGCCAAGGTTTCTGATTTTGGGCTCGCCAAGCTCTTGGATTCGAGAGAGAGTCATATCGCAACTAGAGTTATGGGGACTTTTGGGTAATTCCAATTTCTTTGTTTTTCCAGCTTAGCAAAAATATGCCCCTGTATCTAAGTATTTTCTAATCGAAATTCTTTTGTGAGTTTCAGTTATGTGGCACCAGAATATGCTAACACGGGTTTGTTAAACGAGAGGAGTGATACTTACAGCTTTGGTGTCCTCCTACTTGAAGCTGTCACTGGAAGAGACCCTGTCGACTATGAGAGATCTGCTAATGAGGTATTATTTAATTCTGGAGTAACACTCTTTGCATTGAGTTCTCCTCTGCCTCCCCACAAACCGAGTTAGTACTTTTGGGGTTTCGCTTAAACTGAGCTAACCATATGTATGCCTACTGCAGATCAACCTTGTTGAGTGGCTGAAGATTATGGTCGGAACAAGGAGAGCAGAGGATGTTGTGGATCCAAATCTCAAAGCTAGACCGACAACACGTGCTCTTAGACGTGCCCTTTTGGTGGCACTTAGATGTGTTGACCCGGACTCAGATCAACGGCCTAAAATGAGTCGGGTTGTACGGATGCTTGATGCTGATGACTACCCATTTCGTGAGGTATAATGATCTTCTATTTGCCGAGTTAATGCTATTTTTGTGTGTATTTCCGTATGGCTTCTTCTTTCGTGTAATAGGTGTAAGTGCATTTCTGCAGCATAAAGGTATGCTAGTTTTAGTTAATATTACAGTTCTGTAGTTGATATCTTCGATACAGCAATGACCCTTTGCATCCCCTATCCTCCCTTCACTAAACGTCCTCAAGAAAACGAAAAGAACAGAAAACCTACTCGGCAAGGAATCTACGGTATGAGTTGTTTACTGCATTTTTTTTAATTTTTTTAATGAGCTTGTTCTGTCTTGGGATACAAATTGTGGTGTTTGCATACTGTGTAGCCGTCGCCTATTCATGATCACCGTAGAATATCAATGGTCTTCTGTGTTTGAATGTCGTATACCTTTTGTTCCTTGAGTTGCTTTTTGCAGTTCCTTGTACCTACATTTCTACAAGCTAACAAAGCCCTTATGTTGACATCTGCGATCTTATTCAGGACCGGAGGAACCGAAAGAGCCAAACAGCCAGCATGGAAATCATCGAGAAACATGATGGAGACGACTCGTGAGTCATAGAGACGGACGATAATGGCATGACATGGTGAATAATTGCCTTGTATTTAAGGCTTTCAGCGACACAAATCACAAATTCAACAACCAGCTTATTATCCACTACTAGCTGTGGCGACCAAGGAAGGCCTTTTTGCAATAGCAAAGCAACCGTTGCTTAATTAAGCTTCATTATCATAGTCCATATATTCCTATGTAATACAAATAGTGACACTACTTAAATAGCACTTGCACCACCATTTTAGGATTTGGGTTTTTTCAATCATTAATTTTAGTGACAATACTTCATTAATTTAAAAAAAATTGAATTAGGGTTTTTTTAATATTACGAGGTGATTATAAAGTAGTATATACTCAAAAATTTTTTGAATACTGACGATGCATATACACTCTACATATACAACTGTTTGAAAACAAAACCCTAATCTAAACCAGTTTAAATGCGCTAGCAGAGGATTTGGTTCATTAAGCCTTGCACACTTGGTCATTAAATTATATTAAATATTTATTTTTAAAATTATATCAAAATATAATTGGTGTGGATTAAACTTAAAACCCTTGTAAAAAAATCCAATATTTAACTATTTAATTATTATATTTTTAACCAAATTGATATTTAACTTAAGAGCTATCTTGAACATTTTTTAAATTTCGAGGGAAATTTCAAAAATAGGTCTCTCTATATTTTTTAACTAAATAATTTTATAAATTAACTTTTTTTAAGCTTCTTTACAGAAAAGAAGAAATGGTGGGAAATTGGGTAAAATTTCTAAATCATTGAGAAAAAATTATAGATCTCTGGTAATGGTTGTTTGGAGTCAGAAAACGCAAAATTGTGAAGAAGATATATAGAGTAAATTCGATTTTGATTTGAGGGGAGGGTTGAGAACAAAAGTTTATATTGAGAATCAAGGCGTTGTTGACGTGTACTTGAGTGTGTGTTGTGATGTTTGAGAAGAAGAAGAAGAGAGTTAAATGGTCGGTCATAGGTGTCACTCACAGTCAAATGTGTTAAGTCAGCTGGTTTAACGCATCATATCACCATTCTGTTATTGACGGTTAACGGTGATTGATTGATTTATTATAAATCAATAATATTAATGATCATTTTGTTATTTTTAAAACTTCAATAGAAAAATAAAAAAGTTACTCAAAAATTAGTGATCATTGCTATAGTTTACCTTTTTTAAAGAACAGCATGAAATCAAAGGTTTTTTTTTAAAAAAAATCAGGGGTGTGCAGCGTAGCGATGAAAAAGCTTGACTTTGGCATAGTGTTTGTTGAAGAAAATCATATAAAAAAATTGAAATTTGTTCTTAAATTCTTTTTTTATAAAAAGGTTCATAATTAACAAAATATTTAAAGTTCAAGTGTTAAAATAAGAATTAAACTTTTTTATTAACGTGTATATCATTAAACTAATAATATTCAACATCTCAGTGATAAAATTTAATAAAACAATAATGTAAATGATTAATATTTAAATATTTTAAAGATGAGAAAAACTACATAAATATAAAAGGTAAGTGATTATTTTAATAGTTTATACTATATTTAATTATTCATACACAATTCATAAATAAATTTGTTAATTTTTATTGGGCTAGAGTCTTAATAGATTAGTGAGTAGCTGACTTACTGGACTAAAAATTATCTATAGTTCCGATTTAAATATTTTTTTTTCAAATATCTAATATAAATTATTTAAAAACTAAAAAACAAATGAATATCTAAATTTTCAACAATTTAAGTATATGAACATAGCGTTAAGTGAATTGTCTGTATAATGTTCGTTTTTGTTTATTCGTTAAGTTAAATAAACGAGTATGAATAATTCTGTTTGTTTGTTTAGTAAACAAATGAACACGAATATAGGTGTGTTCGTTTCGTTTATGTTCACGAACGAACGAACTCATTTATGAACTCGTTTATAAGCTCATTTATCAACTCATTCATTTATGTTCATAAACAAACTTGTTTACCCGATTCTCCTTTTTCTTTTATTCTTTTTACATTTTAATATTGATGAAGATGGAGATTAAATTGAACACATGATAAAAGTTGAAATTTAAATTGTGGATTTTAAGGAGTTTAATCATTAGTGATATAATTTTATCATTTTTCTTTAACTTTGCAAATGAAAGGATAAAACTAAAATTTGAATATATCAATGAACGATAAACGAAAAATAAACAAACATTAAATTAACATTGAACAAACATGTTCATAAACACTAAATGTACATGTTTACAAACACTAAATGAATACGTTTATGAACATATAAATTAATACGGTTACGAATATTAAACGAACACGTTACGAACAATAAATAAATAAACATAAATAACTTTAAAAATAAATAAACAAACATAAAAACGAGATTAAAAATTTAAATAAATATAAATCGAAAGTCAACACCGTCAATTTAAATAATAAACAGACAAAGACGAAATTAACCTTATCCGGCTATTACTCCTGATCCTCTTTTCCTGCATATACCCATTTTTCAATGGCTTCTTCAAAGCTCCTAAGCCAACCGCGGTGTCATCGTCTCCTTCGAACAAGCCTTTTCAATGGCAAGCTCCTTTCTGATTTGCCTTCTCAACACCCTGTTTCGGTTCCTGAACCCAAATCTAATAACAAGTTCAAAAATGATTCTTCAACTCCTTCTTCATTGAAGGAAGCTGAACCCGCCAAGTTCGCTGCCATTGCCGATACCTGGTCAGTAAAAAAAACTGGGATTATTTAAACAAAGATTTTGAAATGATCCACAATGTTGTTTTCTTCTATTACGTGCAGGTGGGATTCTGAAGGACCATTTATACCATTGCATAAGATGAACCCTACCAGGCTTGCTTTCATCCGCTCTACTCTTTGTCGGCATTGCCACTTGTGTTTCTAATAGACTGAATCTTACACTAGTTGAACTTGTTCTGTAAACCATGTTTTGGAATACTGATATCCTAGTTTTTAATGTTTTGGGGGAATTTCACTTTGATCCCTAATTGAGTTTGTTTATGCTGTTTGTTGTCGTAGAAAGGATCCTCTCTCTGCTAGGCCTTTTGAAGGATTAAGGGTTATCGACGTCGGTTGCGGTGGTGGTATTCTTTCAGAGGTATTTTCGCATGTCTACTACATGGAATTCCTTTTCTTTTTCTTTTTGTGTTTATGCTGAAATTGTACCTCTCATTTGGAATGACATCTTTATGTCTGGAAATCCTATGTTACCTCCCAAGTTTGTATAGCCACCGGAACCTTGATATTAGATCATAGGCATAGAGATCAACGAGATAAACCTTTGCCACATAGTCATTGCCATGCATACTCCACTGGAAAGCTTTAAGCTTTGCTTTTTCATTGTAAATTCTTATCACTGGTGACCTCTACAAGAACTATAGCTTCTGGAATAAGCTCACAGTTCACTTTACAAGCTACCTTTGAACTCTAGAAATTATGAGTACTCGTATCATTTAAATTTTGCAGCTTCCTTTATTGACATTTCCCTCTTATTTTCATAGTTTTGAGCTGCAAATCAGTTTCCACATCCAACTCTACCACTGTTGTCTCCAATTCACCTTCTTCTTTCCCTTTTGCAACAAGTTGCATTACATAAACTCCTTTTTTTTCTTACACAGCTATGGTTAGGTGTGTTTTCCTCGTAAACAACCAGGATATTAACTTGTTGGGGAAAGGGGAAAGGTTAATACCCAAATAAACCCTTGATCTTTTACGTGTAACTGAGGCAAGTTTTTATTTCAATGTAAACATACTCGTTAAATTTAAAATTGACTGAATGTAGTCCACTTATCAAAATTATTTAAACAACTTGTTTACATAAGCCCTCATTCCGCTTCTGATCTTTTTTCCCTTCTCTCCTAGTAAGCATTAATACAAACTGATCAAGTTAGATTTGATATTTTTCTGGTACTTATTATGTTATTTTTCCTCTCAGCCATTGGCTCGAATGGGAGCAATTGTCACTGGAATCGATGCAATAGAGAAAAACATCAAGATTGCCCGTATTCATGCCGTATGCCGTTTTCTTCTTTTCATCCATTTCATAATATGGAGATGGTGTTACCTTTTTGTACATGCAAGTGCAAACTTTCATAATTTGCTTATTTCTAGAAATATTCCATCTTTTGCAGCACTATTTCTTCCATGCATGTTAGCCTAAGCATTTCTACATCTCGGATGATTTTAGTAATAACTGCACATGGGTTAAAAAAAAGGAAGATAATTATTTGGTTATTTAATGCTAACACCATATTATGTCTATGGTTTGAAGATACTATGTCGTCTCAAAGATTTTTTACTTTCTTTTTGTCTTTGTAACTGGATATGGTCAAATAGGATTCTGATATTTTATCAGGCATCGGTTACTTCATATGAAAACTTCTTGAAATGGAGTGCTCTTACCTGGTTCTACTTTGGCACAACTAGCTAGTTAGTAGGTGATTGAATATTTTGGCTTATATTTCGTAGTTCATTAATAGTCCCTTGGGTTATAAAACTTTCTTGGCAGTTGTCACTACGTATTGTTTATCAAATTCAAATTCCTTTATTTATTTATTAATTATAGATATTTGGTTCCTGCTTCAAAATTGATTAACGTGAATCTTTTGTATCTGATTACTATTGCAACAAATTACATGTTTAAAGTTTACTGTTTTTGAGTGCCTGAACTAGGACTTTATATACCTTTTTCTACAGAATTTGGACCTAACGACTTCAAATATCGAATACTGTTGTACAACAGTGTCGAAACGATTTTTCCTTAAAGGTGAGATTTTGAAAACCACATTAATTCTTAATTATCCTCTTTTTAATTTAAAAACAAACGCAATTTAAAAGACCTATCGTTTCGAAAAATTTTAGATTTCCTTTACGATCGAAAAATACGGTTTGAAGAGTCGCCACCAATCTTTGATTAGGGTGTGATTGGGCACCCAAAAATGCTTTGTCATTTTAAATAAAAATTAATTTTAATTAAAACAACAAATTAAGGTATGCGTTACCAAAAATTGAGTCCGGGAGTCGGTTACGTGTGGGGAAGGATTAGCACCCCCACAACGCCCTAAATCGGTACCTAGTCGATTAATTAACGTCTTTGCATTGATCTTTACAAATTTGAATTTATTTTGATTTTTGATCCCATAAAAAAATGTAAATTTAAAACGTTCAAAAACACTCAAGCAAATTAAATTAAAATTACCAAGTCATTTTAGAAAGATAAAGAATTTTCGATTATTTACAAATATCGAGACCAGATCTTAAAGATATAACAACCTTTTCTCGATATATTTAAATAAACGAACATTTCTTTTTCTCTCGTTCCCAAATTTTAGGTAATGAATCAATTTTTTTGGTTTCACTTTCGGGATACACTTTTATTTTAAAATCATTAAAAGCGGACCTCAAATCAGTTATGACTGCCCACTTAAAACAATTTTAAATTTAAAAGTATATTACCCTTAATCCAATTATATACTAACGTCAAGTTATGCAAATGAGGATATCATGCAAATTATGCAAAAGGTGGATGTCATGCAAAAATTAATTAAACAAAATTAAAAATATCATACAACGTGACATACAAAAAATATATATGTATATTTTGATTAAAAAAAAATCATAAAACATGCATATTAACATATAATGTACAAGTGTGACTCAAATACAAAAAATAAAAATGGAATACTAAACTATAAATTTTAAAAAATATATACATCATATTAAAGCAATGACTAAATTTAAACACACGTAAAATTAAACATACTGACTAAAAATCAAAACAGAGACTTAAATAAAACGAATATAAATATAAGGAACTTAAACTTAAATAATTCAAAATAGTAACCAAAACAAAAACTAGAAAATAACTAAGTTAAGACATAAAAAAAAAATCAAGCCCTAAAGGTGACTAAATTACAAAAACGTTAAACTTAGAATCTAAAGATAGTTTACATCTAAAGTTACAATGGCTAAACACTAATTAATCCTAAAATGTTAATATAAAACCTAAGTAAAACTTAAACCTAAGCTAAACTAAATTGAACTCTGCCGCTCCTCACGTTTCCTCTTCATTATCCCTTTCTTCTCCGATTGTTCTTCTTCACCAACCTCACGACCACCGCTCAACGGTGACTACACTAAACCCCGACCACTATTGGACTGTTAACCGAAGCCAAACGACCATTGTTATTCTCTATTGTTCGAGTCTCTCCACCTCGGCGACTTCAACTCCGGCGACCATCTCTTCAACTAGGTAAATTGACTCCTCTCATACATGGCCAATATTTTAACAACCCTAGAAACGAACCTACCCCAACCCTAAACTTATTCTAAACCTAATCCTTAGCTACTGCCCTCTATCTCCTCATCACCCTTGGTCGAGCCCTCAAGACCTCCATGATCGTCGAATAAATACATATCCAACGATTCTAAACCAACACTTACAACGCTTTTTAACCACTACCATAGCCACCAACGACTCTTAATGGTTTAACTACTTCCGATGGAGACTAAGCATGCTATCAAAAAAGCTTAATTATACTGAAACGGAGGAAATGGCGGTAATTTTGGAAGAAGAAACACTGGACACAACTGTGATGGCAGAGACAGTGAGCATGGAGCGATGACTGAAGACCTTAAATTCAGGTTTATGGTAAGGCTTTAGCTTCTAAAATTGTGATTAGCAAACATTGTTATAGTTAGTACTTTGATTCGATGTTGGTTCTATGGTTCTCTGTTATTGCTATCGGGTTGTTTAGATTCTACCATCTTGTTTTTTTATTCTCTATTTATTTTTCATTGTGAAATCTATTAAAACCAATATAAAATATGCAACTATAAGTAATCATGAAGGGAAAATCTTACACGTATTGGATTTGCTTGGTATTGCTTTGAAAGAGAAAGAGCATTTTGTTTGTAGTAATCTTCGAATTGGAGGAAAAAAAAACTCTTTTACACGCTGTTTTTTTTTCGAATCAGATAACAGAACCCTCTACACTGTTTTTCTTTTGTTATTCTATTGTGTAAAGAACAAAAAATGAAGAAGCCCCCTACTCTTTTCGTGCTTTTCTTTCCCTTTTCTCTCCTGTGTAAAACTCTCTCTTTTCTCTGCCTGTTGATCCTGTCCTCTCTTCTCAAAATGCTTTTCTTTTAAATTTTTCGTTGGTCTCCTCCTTTTCAGTGGTTAATCCCCTCTAAAAAAACTGACCCTTTCTTTAGTGGTTAACTAAAAATTAAAACCACCATTTACAGTTTCTAGTGGTTAATTCATGATAACTATTTTTTGGTTTTCCAGGGCTTCACGTGAGCTGCTCTACCGGGTCATTGGTTTGGGCCTCCAATTGCTCTGCTTCGGGTCTACTCTGTCCTAGCCCTGGACAAAAACGAGCATCTACAGCTACCCCTCTTTGGTCATTGTCGTGTAACGAGAATAGAGCAAAGATCAAAAGATGAACGAGTTTGTCCAGTCTTGAGAACTTCAAAAGATTAAAGCACTCCACTGTTACTTCAGGATAAATGAAACTTGAAAAATCTTCAAATGACGGGTCCGCTCCCTCTTGTTCCGGGATTAAGGAACTCGAACAATCTCCTAAAAATGGGTTCGCTCCCTATTGCTTCAGGGAGTAGAACTCGAATAATCTTCTGGTGTGATTCTGCTTCACTATTCTTCCATGAAGGCTCAACTTCGAGGGTTAAACCTGAAAATCAAACGTTGTCACTCATTAATGTATGCTTGAAGATTTGAAAAACATTATACTCGAAAAAATTAGAATTTAAGAGAATCTTTGAGAATCCATTTCTCTTGAGGGAGCTTGTCTCGCAACAACTAGATATGAAAATCTTCTTGGACTCGACAGCCATCTGAACCTCTCTCTTTCTAGGACCTTGAATTAGTTAATGACTCCTGATGCGCCTTTTAATCAATTGATCTGCTTCTTTGTACTCGAGAACCTTCGTTTTCGTCCCACATCGGATGACCTGATAGTTTGCTCCAACACTATCCCGAGAAGGCTTAAAATGGCCCGAAGGACTTATCATCTCACTCGAAAGACTTACAAATGACCCGAAGGATTTCATCATCATGCTCGAAAGACTTACTGATGAATTTACTTCACTACTCTTCAGTGAAGGTTTACAAATTATCCGAAGGATTTAATCATCATGCTCGAAAGACTTACTGATGGCCCGAAGGATTTCATCATCATGCTCAAAAGACTTACTGATGTCACTTACTGATGGGTTTGCTTCACTACTCTTCGGTGAAGGCTTACAAATTACCCGAAGGATTTAATCATCATGCTCGAAAGACTTACTGATGGACCGAAGGACTTATAAATTGTGAAATTTTGAAAATTGCATTCTTTGTTTTCAAAAATTTCATCTTCTCAAAACATCGTTTTTCATTTTCAAATTCTTTTGAAAACATCTTACCCGAAGGTTTTACGGATGGTCCGAAGGACTTATCATCTTGCTCTAAAGGCTTACAAATGACCCGAAGGATTTAAGCATCATGCTCGAAAGACTTACTGATGGCCCGAAGGACTTATAAATTGTGAAATTTTGAAAATCGCATTCTTCGTTTTCAAAAATTCCATCTTCTTAAAACATCATTTTTTATTTTCAAATTCTTTTGAAAACATCTTACCCGAAGGTCTTATGGATGGTTTGCTTCACTGCTCTTCGGTGAAGGCTTAAGATTGACTTGCTCCAATCTCATGTGTGCAAGTCTTTCCAATCGATCGATTCACTTCTTTATACACAAAAATCTTTGTTTTTCTTCTATATCTGATGGTCATCACTTCAGAGTAATGCGTCTTCTGTGGATTAGACCTCTCAATTCTTCAGGGTATGCCTCTCTAAATGTAACTCCTTGCGTTTGAGGTTGGAAATTTTCCCTTCAAACTTGTCGGGCTTTTGACATCATGAATCTTCTCTTTTCACGGGAAGATCTGTCAAAATCATGTATTTATGCATGAAACACTAATGCAATTAAATGTATCAGTGTAATGCATTTTCTTTTATGCAAATGATGTTTTTATGAATGCATAAATGTTGAATCAATTTTCACTTGGCTCCAGAGTGGTGAGCTTAATCTTCTTCTATTTGATCATTCTTTCAAGGGTCTACTTCATATGCTCGTGTAGCAACTCACGGTTTCCAACTTGCATCTTTGACAAGCCCTCTGATCTTCTTCTTGTCGTCTTTGTTTTCTTTCTTTATTTCGGAGAAAGTGTTTTCTCTCTCAACATCTTGCTATAGTAAGAAATACGACTGTGTTGCCCCATTTCTGTCCTTGGCTCAATTATACTTTCAGAGTTGTTCTTCTAGGACTCTGCCATTGATCAATGCTCAGTTGATTTGCTTTACAAGGTAAGCTCTGCTCAAATTCACGGTCTGCCCCTAACACTTCAAGTTGTGAGGCTCATTCTCAATATCTTCTTGATCTGAATCTTGTCATCCCAACATGATCTGGGTTTCTGGTCATGCCCCAAAGTGGGTACTCTTGGATCTCTTTGTGCCCAACATATCATAACTTGAATGTTCTCATTCTCGTGTCACTACATAGTAGTGTTGTCAAGTAGTTTGAAGGCGTCTCTTCACATTGTCATAAACACTTAAGTGCCTAATTTTTCTAACAAAATGTCTTGCATTTTATGCAAGCTGTAATATATGCCCCTTCTGAATAATGAGATCATCTTCTTCTTGATGGGTAATTGACAACGTCACAAGGAAATTTTATAAGTT